TGTGTGTGTGTGTGTGTGTGTGTGTGTGTGTGTGTGTGTGTGTGTGTGTGTGTGTACTGTATATGTATGTGTGTATGTGTATGACATATAGTTAAGCTTAATCCGATTAAGCTAAATGAATTGCAATCTTTTTGCATATAATTACTACGAATGATATGATATCAAATTGACGAAATGATGATTTAGATTAAAAAGATGGTTATCTTATGTAAAGGAATAAAATGAGTGAGTGAAGTGAAGGTACCAATATTCATCGAATCATCGTTTGACAAACATAGATATCTGGATAGGGATACCATAATTATATACAAATACATGACATACATACGAACATACAAACACAGAAGTAGCAGATATGAGAAATTTTACAAAATATTTGAAATGGAGAGGGACAGGTTGGCGCTATTGAAGTTGGCGACGGAGCAGTTTAAACAGCTGCGCTCGGGCATGCATCTTCGTTATGTTGCAGTTCAATGGCGATCGGTTGATGTTGTTTGTTGTCATCGTTACTTTTACCATCTATCATTCAAATATTTCATGGGGTGGAAAAGAGTAGAAAGAGGACAAGAAGGGAAAAAGGATGTAAAGAAGGGAGGGAGATTTTTGATAGTGTAAAAATGATGGTTGGTTGATTTGGTATTGCTAAAGATTTTAGTTGTCATGTTTGGGTTTGGTTTTATTTTGGTGACAGGTGGATGAGAGTGAAAAGTGAAGTGTTTGATGAAAAGAGATTTATGAAAAGGCGCAGTTGATATTGATTAGTTGATTTGATTGATTTGCTAATAGATAGGTAGATGAGAGTGAAGAGCGAAGTATTTGGATACCTTGATGAAAAGGCGCAGTTGGTTGGTTATTCGTATTGTGAAGGATAGTGATGTAACGATCTGTTTTGCTTCTTTTTTTTTCTCTCTCCCCCATTTTCTTTCTTTTTTTTTTATCAATATCAGATTTCAATAAAAATTTCATTATTATTAATTAATAATCACTGACTATTAATCGTTAATTATTAATTATTGTTATTATTATTATTATATTTGCAATTTGATATATTTTCAGTAATTTGTCTTTTCATTCATTTTTAAAACTTCTTTCTTGAACTTTTAATAAGTGTAAAAGCATTTTAAAAATACCTTTTTTACAACATATTTTGGAATGATTTAATAAAAAGGAAGAAGAAAAATTTTCCTTTATTCAATTTTTTTCTTTTCAAGACATTAAGTGATGTTTCATTTTTTTCTTCTCTTTTTCTTCTTTTTTAAAATTTCCTTTCCTTTTCAGATTTAAAAATTTTTATTTGAAAGAATTTTTCTACTCTTTGCGATGCATTCAACATTACGTGAGCTTACAAATGATGAATTGCGAATGATTGATGATTTGCGAACAGTTATACCAGCACTTCAAACTGTTAATGATGGCTATATTGCAAGGTAAAAATTGCAAAAATTTTCATTTCTCACGAAAAAAAGACTTTCTTTTTGAGTAATACAAAAGCAAAGTTCATTTCTCGTACTGTAATTAATTATTTTACAATCGGTATTGCAAAATCTTTCCTTACTCCAAATAAGGGAGTGGTTTTTCTCATCATTTTCTTTTCGGTCATTATTTTTCAGTTTTTTTTTTTTTTTTTTAATCCAAACAATCTATCATTGATTGTACTAGAATAATCATTTTGAAATTCGTTTTTTT